CTCAGAGATTTGCCTGCCTCTGTCTCCTGAGTGCTGGGATTAAGGGCGTGTGCCACCAAGCACTAGGGTCTTTTTATAGATGGCAGACACTGGACAAAGACTGAGATAATTTCTATTGAGAATGGCAATTCTCTGAACATGCTAGGGGCTTAGACAATTAGGGAGTAACACACTCTGCATACTCTTCAGGCCTACCAGAGAGATGATCGTGTATGGCTCACTCAATTAGGGGCTGCTTTAAGGCCTCTCTCTCCATCTCTGACTTCTTTGTTAAGCTGCTGGCCTTGACTGCTAGCCATCAGCTCTGGCTGGTGTTGCTACTACCAACCTTGCAGGTTGATGGCTGTTAATCAAGCTATGCTCCCTTTGCGCTGACATTTATATGGCCAGCTTGTTTTCCCTTACTACCACAGAAAGTTTGCTCTTGCCTTACTGGGAAACAATTACAATTCTGTTGTATTTTCTTACTCTTATTTTATGGTCTAGAATTGATTATATTTTGAATTATATTTGGGAAGGGACACCTTATAATCTTTTTAGTTTTAGAGCCTCTCTAGGTCTTAATCAAGTCCTAAGCATATGTTCTGCAAAAACTCTGAAATACTATGCAACAGAGAGTCTAATCATATTGACTATCACACAATATCAAAATAGAAAGACTTCCTGTGGATCTGGATGAAAAATAAAGGGCAGCTGGGCGTGGTGGCACATGCCTTTAATCCCAGCACTTGGGAGGCAGAGGCAGGTGGATCTTTATGAGTTCAAGGCCAGCCTGGTCTACATAGTGAGTTCCAGGACAGCTGGGGCTACAGGGAGACTCTGTCTCAAAAAGACAAAAAATAAAATAAAATAAAACAAAGGGCAGACTAAATATGCTTCATTACCCTTATTTTATTTCTATTTGAAAAAACTGAGTTTTGTGTTAAAGGATTAGTTATGGGAAAAGCAAGGAACTTGAGGCTTTTCAGCTCAGCTCTGACACCCATGAGAAATACTTGCTTTTACTCCTCAAAAAACTGACTCTAGGGGTTAGAGATGGCTCAGTGTGTATGTTCTTGCAAGGGATCCAAATTTGGTTCCAAGCACCCACAAGGCTGTTCACAACCATCTTTAACTCCAGTTCCAGAGTATCCAATGACCCTCTTCCAGCTTCCACAAGTACCAAGCACCAAACATGGCATACATACACACATGCAAACACTCATACATGTAAAAATAAATCTTTTTTAAAAATTATATTTGTATGAATATAAAATTCAACCAAACAAAAACTAGGGGCTAGAGAAATGGCTCAGTGGTTAAGAGCACATACTGCTCTTCCAGAAGACTGGAGTTCAGTTCTCCACATTCATGCGGGTGGCTCACCACTTTCTGTAACTCCAGCTCCAGGAAATCCAACTTCTTTTTCTGAGAGCACCTGCACTCACATGCACATACCAATAATCAAAAATAAATATAAAACTCCTAAAACTGATCAAGTTTGCATTTGACAGTCCTAATGATGCTTTTCACTAGTTGCTCAAACCTTTACCACTCTCAATGTCTACTTGTGTTGTTTTATTTTCCATTCAGCCAAACACCTGGAAGGTTCTGCTTCATCTAGCTGTATCTTCCAGACAAGGACTATGAAAAGGAGGCCAGGTTCTCAATTCTCAGCTTAGCCACTTCTTCAGGGCCTGGCTACAATTATCTTTTCAATCTTCAGGCACCTGCTGCCTGCTCTTAGTCATAATTATCCATGTTTGTTTCCTGTCCTAGAATATACCCCACCAACTTCCTGAAGAGTCTCTACTTCCTATTTCAACTTTCTGGCCTTTCTCTTGTTCCCCGCTCAACCATAGTAATTTGTGTTCTGTTCCCACCATGCTACAAAGCTACTTTAACAAAGATTACCAAAAACATGGAAATAATATCTGAGCACTTCTGTGAATTCCTTGCCCTGTTTGAATTTTCTGCAGCACTGGACCTTTCAATGAAGTACTTCTTTTCCTGACCTCTGAGATTTCGCTTTTTTGTGTTTGTTTCCTGGCCAATTATTTTCGTTCACTCCTCAAATTCTGTATTCCTAACAGTTCCACTTTTAAGTGTTTTCTCATGCCAACACATTCTCTGAGTGCTATCAACCTGTTTCTGTAGCTTCAGGTACCACCTGAACATTTCCGGGTTCTCATATCCACACTGCTCCCCCACCTTGAAAGCTCTCTTAAGCATAGTAGGTTAAACAGACCATAGATGAAGTACCGGAGAATCTTCATCTCACCTCCACTAATTCTGACATTTCTTTGTTAGCAAATGAAGTTAGAAGGAGGGACAATAACCTGTTATAAGACACTTGGCACCAGACATAGACCTTCCTAAATGTCTATAAACCAGTCCTCTGAAGTAGAAATTAATGGGACAGTCTCTGTGCAGACCCTTCTGCTGCAAAGACAATGAGGATCCTGAAGTCAGCTGCAGCAGCATGGTCTAGAAAGAAACTGAGTGTAAGTACCATACGGATGATTCATTTTAAGTTTGTGTGAGGGTGGAGTTTTGAGTTATTGCTCATTTGGTTCCCAAGTCCCACCCCTCAATGTTAGAGAATGTTAAGATTGAGAAATTTCCAGGAGAGGCTATGTTCTGGGCCTGAATAGCCTCCACTTCCTGAAAGCATCTTAAACAAAACAGCACTATAACTAACCAACCTCCTCCCTTTGCTTGAAGCTCCATCCTACTTAAAATCTTTTAACGACTTGGCCCAGATAGAACCCTATGTTAATGGGGTACTGTATAGGTATTTCCTCTGAATTGATGCATTCTCTCCTGCAGGGAGGCTCCTAAGATTCAGGAAGCAAATAAAACTTCGAAGGCTCAGAAACTTAATGAGATTCACTTCTCCAACGTCATATACTCAGCAAACAATTTTTGATTATTGGTATGTGCATGTGAGTGCAGCAAGCTCCAGGGATGCACCTTTTGTGGATTCTCACCCAAGCTTGAGTAGGCTTTAGTGACATAGCTACCTTTGAGTCACCCAGGCTCCTATAAGTAACCCCAGTAAACTTACGGTTTCACTAAGCTAGACTTGGGTGGAGTTTTATTTTTTTCTTTGGTCTGTTGTCAAGTCTCTATTGTTTACCTCTCCCTAGGAAAAGTCACACAACACAGGATTCCTCCCTCTTCAGCGGTGTTCCCTGTTTTAATCCCCAAACCCCTAAGCTAGTGCCTTCCTATGTTAGACAGCACCCTACTATCTCCAAGCCTGCTAGTCTTTATTTTATTCAGTCCACGCAGCCAAAGGAAGTGATCCAAAGTGTTGATCATCACTAACCAGGGTTAGAAACTCTGCTTTGAAGCTGGGTGTGGTGGCGCACACCTTTAGTCCCGGTAGTCCTGAGGCAGAGGCAGGCAGATCTTTGTGAGTCTGAGGCCAGCCTGGTCACGTAGTGAGTTCCTAGTCAGCCAGGGCTACATAATGAGACCCTGTCTCAAAGAAAAAAAAAAAAAAAACCCCAAAACAACAACAAAAAAACCACAAAACATGGCCGGCTGTGGTGGTGCACAACTTTAGTCCCGGCACTCAGGAGGCAGAAGCAGGTGGATCTCTGTGAGTTCAAGGCCAGCCTGGTCCACATAGTGAGTTCCAGGACAGGTGGGGCTACAGGAAGACCCTGTCTCAAAAAGACCAAAAAAAAAAAAAAACCAAAAAACACCCCACAAAACAAAACCCTCTGCTTTGAAGATTATGTTCAGGCTTTAATGGGGCATATGAAGTTCTCTCAAAACTTGCCTTTACAAAAAAAAAAACAACAACAAAAAAACTTGCCTTTACCTGATCCATTTTCTTCTCTGTTGACTCCTTTCATCCAAACAAGGGGCACACTAATTTTTCAAACACACTATACTAAGTACTGAGTGCAATCATGAATCTAAATTTGAGAGAACACTGAAGACAAAAACAAGGTTCCTATCTTATCACATAATTCACATTTTAGTAGGAAGACCAGGTCAGTAAGCAGGATAACGGGTCAGATAGTGATAAGGTGATACAGAGACAAGGAGATGCGTCCTGGGTGTGAGGTTCCAGCTACTTGATACAACGCTCAGGAATGAGCCTGAGAGGGTGACATTTAGACTTGAAGGATGAAAAGCCAGGCAATTACACGCATGCAACGATGGGCCCAATCGCATTTTTAAGCAGTAAGTTTGATGGGCAAGTGAGAAAGGTCCCCAGAGGAAAGAACTAGTTTCTTTTAAATGTTAAAAACTACCCAAAGCATCTGAACCCTGTATTTTCTGAACAAGAGGAAAAGGGCTGTACTTAAGGATTCTGATTAATAGTGTGCCAGGCTGTGGTCTACCTTCTAAAAACAACTTCCTGAGGCTGTGTGGCTCAGAGGTTAGGAGCACTGGCTGCTCTCACCTACATGGCAGCTAACACCAGTTCCAGGGGAATCCGACGCCGCCTTCTGACCTCTGGGCACACAGTGTGCACTTACGTTCATGCAGGCAATACACTCATACACATTAAAAGTAATTTTTTTTTTTTTTTTTGGTCTTTTTGACCCAGCTGGCCTGGATTCGCTATGGAGACCAGGCTGGCCTCGAACTCAAATATCCGCCTGCCTCTGCCTCCCTAGTGCTGGGATTAAAGGCATGAGCCACCACGCCCAGCATAAGTTTTTTTAAAAAAATAAAGTTTTCTGGGGCTGGACAGATGGCTCAATGCTTAAGCGCACTTGCTTCTCTCTTCCAGGGAACCTTGGTTCCCAGCACCTACATCGGGCAGCTCACAACCATCAGTGACTCCACCTCCAGGGGCTCCAAGGCTCTCTTCCGGACTTGAGCTCACATGCACACACATGTTACATACATCAACACATAGGGCTTACCGAGGTGAATACGGGGCACCTCGCTGCAGGTAGCCCTCCCCTTCCCGGCCACACAAGGGCTGTGAAGAGTGCCCCGTTCGCCTACAGTCCCGGCAGCCTCTGCGAGCGTGGATCCCTCCGCCCCGCTCCCTCCCCTACGTCCCCAACAAGCCCATAAGGCCTGCTGCCCAAGGGCCACCGCCTCTCCGCTTGAGTCATGGTCCACCTTCTTATCCCATTTCCGGAGAGAGGCTACTATAAGCTCGAGAGATACAAGGGGACTTCTTTCGAGGAGAAAAGCGGATGCAGACGATGAAGGAGGAAGGATGAAGTGAACGATTTTCGCGCGCTTTGTCGCGGGGAATTGTGGGTAGCGCACCGGGGAGGGAAAAGAGAATCCCCGAAGCTGGGTCGCGCCGCCCGCTGGGCCTGAGGGGATGTTAGAGGACGAGCCCCAAGCCGAGGGCGCTGCGGTGGCGGCCGCCGCCAGGGAGGCGCTGCAGGCCCTGTGCCAGCAGCTGAACCTGGACGAGGGGAGCGCGGCCGAAGCCCTAGACGACTTCACAGCCATCCGGGGCAACTACAGCCTGGAGGTGAGCGGCGGGTGGGCGGCGGCGAGTAGGCGGCGGCCCGGACCCTCAGCAGGCCCCACCCCTGGCCCGCCCCAGCCCCAGCCTCGGGGAGGGTCGCGGCACTCAGGGCGCGGAGGATGCGGGGCGGGCAGGGTGGGAGTAGTTCGACCCAGCCTCCCGTTTGTTTTCGGGCGGGAAATCTAAGCTCAGAACTGGAGCGGCTCGTTCAGGGTTCCTGGTTCCCCAACTCCAGACTTCCGAATGAGAACCTGCACGGTGCTGCCGTTACGACTGCAACTGGTGATTGTAATCGGTTTTTCGACTGATGATTGAAAAATGAACTGCGTGCTCATGCCCCTGCGCAGCCTTTGAGTAGGTCCTTCCTGTCCTCTGCAAACACGCCCTGGGATCCCCATTCAGCAGGTCAAAGTTAGCGCCCTGGGTCACGCTTGCTGATGGAGCCGGGCTCAGCCGTCTGAGCACTTAACCTCTCGAACTTTCTGCCTCATTGTGTGAGTTGACTTTGTAGCACGTATGCACTGTAGTTGATCCCAGTTAGCACACACACAAAGCTCATCTCAGCCCCATGTTCCTCTGTCAGGTCGTTATCTCAACGTTTACCATAGGGACTGGCTCTGAATAAATGCACAGTGCTTATCATTCTTCTTTTTCTTTTTGGTCTTTTTGAGACAAGGTCTCCATGTAGCCCCAGCTGTCCTGGAACGCACTGTGTAGACCAGGCTGGTCTTGAACTCACAGAGATCCGCCTGCCTCTGCCTCCTGAGTGCTGGGGATTAAAGGCTAGCGCCACCACTACCCGCACGAATTCTTTTTTAATTTTGCCTTCACAAGGGGGCAGTGAAAATTATACCTATTTTCTTGGCAGTATCAAGGCTCAGAATTGTCTTGCCTAGGGTTATTCTAATATAGAAACTCAGGTAAACATAATCTTAGTGTAGGAATAACATTGCAGTGGCATGTACAGTGGAATTCCGCATGGTTTCGAAAGATCAAAGATACTTGTGGAAAAAATTGCATCCGTACTGAGCATGTACAGGCTTGTCATTCCATAAACAATGAACTGTGCAGTATGATTATTTACAAAGCACTTAATCAAGTAATCTAGAGATGATTTAAACTCTACAGAAGGATGGTCCTAGGTAATATGCAAATACACTGCTGTTTTATATCAGGGACTTAACCTGGATTTTGGTATCCTCTGGGGTCCTGAAACCAGTATCCCAGGGAATACCAAAACATGACTGTATTTCAGCACCCTGCTCCATTAGCTGTGTGTATAAAAGCTTTCATTATCCACAGGGCTGTACTCAAACACAGACTGTTCCTCTGACTCAGCCCACCAGTGAAATAATTACTAGGCTCTAAGGCACAGAGTTGGAAATAGGAAGTTGACTGTATATATATCTGTATACATGAGAAAATAGTACCTGAAAGAAAAAGGTGGAAGAGACGGAATAAAAACGAGTGATCTGCATCAGAGGGCGTGGCCTAACTGGAAAACTGGAAAGAATAGGGAAGTAAGGGAGAGCTTGTGAGTTGGCTAATGTGCTTGCTGAGCAAGCTTGAGGACCTGGAGTTCAGATCCCCAGCAGTCACATAAAAGATGACGCAGTGGAGGTGTGTATCTGTAACACTGGGAGTGCTGAGGGGGGACAGACATATCCAGGAGGCTCACTGGCTAGCCATTCACCAATCTAGCTGAAATGCTGAGCCAAGTTCCATGAGAGACCTGTTTAAAACTAAGGTGGAGAGTGATAGAGGAAGGCCTCAGACATTGATCTGTGATCTGTACTTGTGTGTGGGTAAGTGCACATGTGCATACACACGTACACCAAAGAATGAAGGAAATTGTTAATAGCATCTCAGTCGAAAATGGATTTGTTTTTGATACCCTGAGAAGGCAAAATGCTTCTCAGGGCTTCATTTGGTTTTTCTCATCAAATAAGCATTAATAAGGACAAACTATGGCTGAGGCACTCAGACTAGATACGTTTCAGATTCTTAAATATGACAAGCTCTTTTCAAATTGTATGTTTTCTGCATGTCACTCTCCCTGGACCCTTTCACTTCACCTCTAAACCCAGGGAAGGTTGAAGATCGAAATTATAAACCTTTGGTTAGGCAGAGTTGTTTGACACTTTAAATGTTTGCGTTAGAAAGCTCAGCTGTGTGAATTGAGAGTTTGGGAGTATTCTGTCCGATATTTAATTTTTCTTTTAGTTTTTGGCAAAAAGCAGTTGGAGTAAAGGCATTTTCCTGTCTCTCTGCTGCTTCCTAAGAAGCCTCTCCTGTCACAGTCTCTATCTGTCTGCTCTCCCAGACAAACTCCTGCGTATATATTCCCTTGATGCCACACAGTTTTGGTAATTTACTATTTAGCAATTTAAAATCTTCTCATGTAAAGTCTTCTTGACCTCCAGGAAAAGTCAGTTACTGCACTGTATTTTCTCACAACACTTTCTCTTCAGTTCTTCTTACAGCCTGTTTTACCAATTATAGAGCATAGTTCCTGTTGCTAGTCTTAGCTTTGGACGTAGATCAGGAACCATCTCTGATTTTGTTGTTGTTGGTTTCCCAGTACTGAGGACTGAACCCCAAACTTTGTGCTTGCCAATCAAAAACACTCTACCACTGAGCTAAATCTCCGACCCCCATTAGAATCATCTTTGTATTTGTGAAGTATCAGATTAGAATAAGTAATGTAGTTGGCTATTTTTAAAATATTTTCTCATTTTTATTATGTATATGACTGTAGTGCCTGCATGTATGTAAGTACATCCAAGTCATGCAGTGTCCACAGAGGTCAGAAGAGGGTGTCAAATTCCCCTGAAACTGAATTTACAGACAGTTGTTAGCCATCATGAGGGTGCTGGGAATTGAACCCAGGTCTTCTGCAAGAGTAGCCAGTGCTGTTCACCATTGAGCCATCTCACCAGCCCCCAGATTGACTATTTTTAAAACTATTTTATTTTTATTTTATATGTATGTGTATAATGACTGTATGTAGGTGAGTGCACCTGTGTTGTGCAGTACCCTTGGAGATCGGAAGAAGACATCAGATCCCCTGGAACTGGAGTTACAGTTGTTTGTTAGCCACCATGTGAGTACTGGGAATTGAACCTGGTCCTCTTCAAGAGCAGTCAGTTCTCTTAACTGCTGAGCCATCTCTCCAGTCCCCCAGTTGACTATTTTTAAAGCAAAAAACAAAATAGCCGGGTGTGGTGGCGCATGCCTTTGATCCCAGCAGAGGCAGAGGCAGGCGAATCTCTGTGAATTCAAGGCCAGCCTGGTCTACATAGTGAGTTCAGGTCAGCTGGGACTACAGGGAGATCCTGTCTCAAAAAGACAAAAGACAAAAAAAAACAAAAGAACGAAAGAAAGAAAAAGAAAAAACAAAATAATTCTAGTACTTAAATTTTCTTTCCTAGTGTTTCAAACAGTAGTCTATATCCAAGGCTACTTTGATACAGTTTCCTAGTAATTCTTTAGTCAAGGCATCTTTTTTTTTATATATTTTATTTATTTAAAAAAATTTTTTTATGCCAGGCATGGTGGCACACACACCTTTAATCCCAGCACTCGGGAGGTAGAGGCAGGCAGATTTCTGTGAGTTCGAGGCCAGCCTGGTCTCTATAGCGAATCCAGGCCAGCTAGAGCTACAGGGAGACCCTGTCTCAAAAAGACCAAAAAAAAAAATTTTTTTTTTTATGTTTATATGTGTATTGCCTTCATATAGGTAAGTCTACCTGTGTCATGCAATGCCCGTGGAGGACAGAAGAAGCTGTTGGATGGCCTGGAACTGGAGTTACAGACAGTTGTAAGCTGCCATGTGGGTGCTATAATTTGAACTCGGGTCTTCTGCAAGAACAACCAGTGTCCTTAACAGCTGAGCCATCTCTCCAGCCCCTGTATCTATAATTCTTAATCCTTAAGCGTCACCTACATTTCATCCAGTTCGATGAGGTGTTTCTAGCTTGAAGACATTTCAAGTGGAAAGCTGAAAACTGAGTATTGAATCACCAAGTATCACTTTTTTTTTTTATGGTCTTTTTGAGATGGGGGTCTCCCTGTAGCCCCAGCTAACCTGGAACTCGCTATGTAGACCAGGCTGGCCTCGAACTCACAGAGATCTGCCTGCCTCTGCCTCCCCAGTGCTGGGATTAAGGGCATGCGCCACCACGCCCAGCCGAGTATCACCTTTTTAAATAGCCTGTAAACTGACATATCTACAGTGGGAAAGAACTGTCCTTACTATTTTAAAGGTAATTTACTGTGGGATGAATAATGCTCTGAATTTTTAGCTCACAAAAATGGCATTCTCTGGGGCTGGAGAGGTGGCTCATCTGTTAAGAGCATTGACTGCTCTTGCAGAGGACCTGGGTTCTGTTCCCAGCATCCACATGGTGGCTAACAGCCATCTGTAACTCTAGTTCTAGAGAATCTGTTGACCTCTTCTGACCTCTGAGGGCACTACATGCACAGGTGCACTTACATACATGCAGGGAAATAAAATAAAAATAAAAATAAGTTACTCTCCTTTCTACTAATTTTTGTATGTGATTCTCTTTTTACTTTGTTCTTTTTTCTGCCAAACTGGCTAAGAAGAAACAATAAACTAAAATGGTAGAAAAGAGCTTCATCAAGAATGACTGCTGTTTAGAATTGAGAAAGTGAATGCAAAGAGATTTCCTTTTCTTAAAATCAGTTTTATTTATGAATTTCCAACAATGACAACTCATAAAAGATGAAGAGATTTTAATAGAATTCTTTCATTAATACATTTGGAATGTAAGAGAGAACTGTTTTTAGGTTAGTACTGATATATCAGGCTCTAGTTCTGAGAACCCAGAACTAGGTATAACATGTTCTATATTGACTTTTGTGACTATATTAGCTTTGTTTCCTTAGGGTTTATGCATTAGGAAAATTAGACCAGATTAAATTCAAAAGCCTCTTCTGGACAAGCATTTTAACATAATATTCCCATTTTGCTGTTTATCTTTTGTTTGCCAGGGAGAAGTTATCCATTGGTTGGCATGTTCATTGTATGTTGCATGCCGCAAGAGCATTATTCCCACAGTTGGAAAGGGTGTCATGGAAGGAAACTGCGTTTCACTTACTAGAATACTACGTTCAGCTAAATTAAGGTAAAGCATTTTGATTTTTCAAATGTTGTTTTAGAAATACTAAATTTGGGCTGGAGAGATGTCTCAGTGGGCAACGTGTTTGCTTCATGCCACATACTGCAAGTACCTGAGTTCCCGGGTGCCTATAACCTCAGCAGTGGGGGACTGAGAGAGGAGGATCCTTGGAAGCTTGGTGTCTAGCCAAAATGGCAAGCTTCAGGTTCAGTGACTGTCTCAAAAGTTAAAGTGGAGGGGCTGGAGAGATGGCGGGTTAAGAGCATTCTGCTCTTGCAGAGAACCCAAGTTTGGTTCCCAACACTCACATTGGGTGGCTCACAATTGCCTGAAACTCTGATTCAAGAGGTCGTAACACCTTCTAGCCTCCATGGGCATCTACACACACCTGGTATGCATACATACATGCGCACATAAATAGAAATAAATCTGAAAAAACATTAAAGTGGAGAAGTGATTGAGAAAGGAAGGCATCCCTGTGTCAACTTCTGTCCTTCACATGTACCTAGATGAGGGAGTGCATCCACACACACATGCATAACCACACACATACAGAATCCTAAATTTAATTTCAGAATTCAGTTTCTCGATTATAAATCTTCTGACTTCATTCAGGCCCAATTGTTATTACGTAGCCCAGTCTCACGTTGTTTCTCTACTTTTCTTCTTCAAATTTTGACTTCTACCAAAGACTTCTGTATTAAATTGATTTTATCTCTACTTTTGTTCATTAATTTTTTTATATTTGAACATAATTTCAAGCTTACAGAAGAATTTCAAAGCTGAGAAAAATGGAGAGAATATCCATATAGCTGCATATGTCTGTGACCCAGGTTCAACTATTATTGACATTTTACCTTATTTGTTTAATCATTTTATCTTCCATCTTAGATATATAGTTTTCTCTCTTAGTGTTTGTTTCTCAGTCATTTCAAAATAAGTTTTATTCATTATAGCTGTTTACCCAAAAAATTGCATCAGTGGTTTATTTATTCTCGAGCACAGGTATCACTATATATAGGCTGCCCTCCAACTCATGAGCCCACTGGTTCAGGCTTCCAAGTGTTAGGATTATAGATGCATGTCACCAAACCCAGTTTATAACTAACTGTGGTACAATTATCAACCTCAGGGAATTTAACACTAACATTAATTTTTTTTAAACCTGTTATCTCTAGTTTTGTTAGTTGGCCCAATAATATTCTTGGTAGCACTGTTTTTCTTTGAGTACAGTTTTCATTCATTTTCATTCAGGTATTATATTCTTTTATACCTATTGATGCTTCTTTAATAAGAGGTTTTTATAACCTTTTTTTTTCTTTTTTTTTGAGACAGGGTCTCCCTGTAGCCCCAGCTGTCCTGGAACTCATTATGTAGACCAGGCTGGCCTTGAACTCACAGAGATCTGCCTGCTTCTGCCTCCCTAGTGCTGGGATTAAAGGCCTGTGCCACCACACCCTGCTAACCTTTTTGTTTCATGATATTGTTGGGATTATAGGTGTGAGCCACCATGCCTGGGTCCCAACAACCAATTATTACAAAAATTTAAAAAATGATATGGCCAGCTGGGCATGGTGGCATACGCCTTTAATCCCAGCAGAGACAGGCAGATCTCTCTGAGTTCAAGGCCAGCCTGGTTTACATAGTTCCAGGCCAACTGGAGCACAGGGAGACCCTGTCCCAAAAAGACCAAAAAAAAACAAAACAAAACAATTATATGGCCAGCAATGGGGAACAGTGACAGAAAAAGATCAGATTGTTTATACAACAATGGATAGGTTTTGCTCAATTTAAAGTTATCTTTGGGGCTGGGGAGATGGCTCAGCAGTTAAGAACACTGATTGTTCTTGCAGAATACCTGGGTTCGAATCCCAGCACCCACATGGCAGCTAACAACTGTCCGTATCTCCAATCCCAGGGGATACGACATTGCATGACATGGGTGCACTTACCTACATGCAGGCAATACACGCATACACATAAAATAAAAAGAATAAAATTTAAAAAAATATAAAGTTATCTTAACATCTGTCCTCATTTTTATCATTAATGACACTTGATACCTACTGAAAATTTTTTTTTTTTTTTTTTTTTTTTTTAGACAGGGTTTCCCTATAGCCCCAGCTGGCGTGTAACTCACTATGTAGACCAGGCTGTCCTCAAACTCACAAAGATCCACCTGCCTCTGCCTCCCGAGTGCCCGGCTATCCTACTAAAGATTTTAAAAACATCTTGACTTTTATTAATTTTCCATAAAACTAAAATTGTTCTGAAAAGCTTCATCTTGAACCGAAATCTATTTGCCATCCCTAAATGGGGCTGTGAAGGTTTCCTCTTTTCTATTGTCAGTACTTAAGGGAAAGCAAATAGATATAACCTTAAATAGCTTTAGCAAGCAAACCCCTCAGAAATGGACATTAGCCCCTATCCAAATCAAGATTGCTACATTTCTTTGTTTTCTGTGCTAGTAAATAGTTCTGTATGGTTGACAAAAGAACAAGTAAAAGATATAACTAAGATGTAACTACAGAGTCCTTAGAGGTGACAAGAAAAAAAATTACATTATAGAACATAGGACTACACATTTAGATGACTAGAATCAGTAACAAAATTACTGTTTGCAGTTTTCCATCTTAAATGGAAATGTTCATCTACCTAATCATAATGAGATATCAGACAAATCCAAATGAGCAGTCTTATTTACAAGGAGGACGGGGTAATTGTATATTTTATTAAAACATGTTAATGTTGGACTGGAGATGTAGTTCAGTTGGTAGAGCACTTTCCTAGCATGCATAAAGCCTAAGGTTCCGTCCCTAATACCACATAAAACCTGTTTGGTATGGCGCACAGGAAGATTTAAAGGTTCAGTGTCATCCTTTACTATATAGCAAGTTCAAAGCCAGCCTGGGCTAGATAAGACTCTGCCTCAAAACAAACAAACAAACAAAAGATTATAACTTTTAAAACTTTGCATCATAGTAAAAATGTCAGCTAATTCTGGAGATGAGTAGTGATGATGGCTGCACATCATGAGTGTGCTAGACGCCACTAAACTGTAGGCTATAAATGGCAATTAATACTTTATATATTTTATCACAGACATAAAAATGGGTTTTAAGGGCTGAGCATGTTACCTCAGTGCTAAAATGCTTGCACCGAATGTACAAGGCCTAGATTCAGTCCCTTTCACCACCAAAGAGAGAGGGGGAGGCTATTTTTTTAAATTTCAAATAATCAGTTGTGCATGATGAGGCATGCCCATTTATCCTAGCACTGAAGAGGCTGAGGCAGGAGATCACAATTTTGAGTCCACTGTGTTAATTTTAGTCAAGGCCTACCTAGAATATATACATAGTAACAACCTAAAATAATAATAGCAAGGTGTGGTAGTGCATGCCTTTAATCCAGGCACTCAAGAGGCAAGTGGATCTCTGTGAGATTCAGACCAGCCCGGTCTCCATAACAAGTTTCGGGCTACCTGGGGCTATAGGGAAACCCTGTCTCAAAAATTAACCCCCATTTTTTTTTTAAAAAAAAAAAGCAGGCTCAGTGGTAGAATGCATATTTAGCACTCTGGGGCTGACAAACTGTTCAACACTGGGTTCAATCCCTATTGCTGAATGGAAAAGAATTCAGATAATACAGAGGAAGTGAAAGTATAAAGTAATTTTCCTTTACTCCCTAGAATTAATGACTATTAACAATTACATATATAAACAACTAAATTTGGGTTTCAGTGTTATTTTATTTTATTTTATTTTTTTTTATTTTTTTTTGGTCTTTTTGAGACAGGGTCTCCCTGTAGTCCCAGTTGTCCTGGATTCACTATGGAGACCAGGCTGGCCTCGAACTCACAGAGATCCGCCTTCCTCTGCCTCCCAAGCGCTTGGGATTAAAGGCATGTGCCACCACACCCTGCTCAGTGTTTTTTTTTTTTTTCAAACAAATGAGATAATACTACATGTATTAGTCAGCAGTCAGTGCTCTTAACTGCTGAGCCATCTCTCCAGCCCCACTAATTATTTTTTAAATGACTAGGATATTTTACAGTATAAGGATGATTCTTATATTTAACCAGCCCGTTATTGATGGTTATTTCTGGTGTATCCAGTCCTCTGTGACTACAAACAAGTGAACTATTGTTGTAAAATGTATTTCTAAGTTTCTAAAAGTATAATGATAACATGAGTTATAATATGTAGCAGTAATATGAGTTTTATTATATAGATGGAGCTGACCCTGGTGGTATATGCCTATAATCCCAATACTAAGACAGAAGGAGTTAAAAGTTTAAAACTAGCCCAAGCTTAATAGCAAGACCCTGTTTTCAATCCCAAAACAAGAACATGTAGAGTAATGTCTCTTTATAAAGTATCAAATTCTTTTTTTTAAGACTTCAAAAAATATTTATTGTTAATGTATGTGGGAGGTGCTTTATGGCACACATGTGGAGGTCACAGGACAGCTTTCAGGAGTTGGGTCTTTCTTCCTACTTTTTTTTTATTGTCTTTTTGAGACACGGTCTCCCTGTAGTCTCAGCTGACCTGAACTCACTATGTAGACCAGGCTGGCCTTGTACTCACAAAGATCCACCTGCCTCTGCCTCCCAGCTGGGACTAAAGGCGGTACCACCACACCTGGCCTCTTTTCCTACTTTTACATGAGTCCAGCGATTGAATTCTTTCTCTAGGCTTGTTTTGCAAATACCTTTACCTGCTTGGCTATCTTAAATGACTCCCAGTATTGAAAAAAATTTCAAATTTAACCTTTGTGGGTATTATTATTATTTTTCTGAGACAGGTCTCATGTATTCCAGGCTGACCAAAAAGTCTGTCCTCCTGCTTATACCTGAGAATTCTGAGAACCATGCATAACAGCTTTCACAGGTGTATTATTGATGTCTTTGGTATGACTTGATTGGCAAGACAAGGACAAATTGGTTCTGGCAGAATTGACTGGAAGCCCCTTCCCCCCATGCTCTCAAGGGTCTGAGTTGTCCAGGCAGGTGAGGACCTACCTACACACTTGTAGGCCAGCACTTGTCTCAGAGCTACAGCCTGGCAAGTCCTGCTTTCATACTTTATTTTAAAACAATTAACAGGCAATTTATTATGACTAAAGACTTCTGCTATATGAAAGAAACACTTAAGGAGAAGAAAGCAATGTTAAATGAGAGAATATATCCTTTTTTTTTTTCTGTCTTTTTTTTTGAGACAGGGTCTCCCTGTAGCCCCAGCTGTCCTAAAACTCACTATGTAGACCAGGCTGGCCTTGAGCTCACAGAGATCCACCTGCCTCTGCCTCCCGAGTGCTGGGATAATAATTTAGTACAAAGAATGCAACACCAAACAAAAAAGTTGAAAATAAAATTTCAAAGTGTGTCAAGAATATTCACAAATGTCAAAGAAATGTACATTTTTTGCCCAAGAATAAACTACCTGTTTTAAGCTGTCCACCATTATCTTTTATTTTTAAGAAACTGCAACTCAGCCGGGCATGGTGGCTCATGCCTAGTCCCAGCACTTGGGAGGCAGAGGCAGGCGGATCTCTGTGAGTTCAAGGCCATCCTGGTCTACATAGTGAGTTCCAGGACAGCTAGGGCTACAGGGAGACCATGTTTCAAAAAGACCGAAAAAAAAAAGAAACAGCAACTCAGTTCTGTCTTCCCCCATCCTTCCAGTACCAGATTCTTTTTTGTTTTGTTTGTAGACAGGGTCTCATTATATAGCCCTGCCTGGCCTGGAAATTCACTATGTAGACCAGGCTGGCCTGGAACTCACAGAGATCCACCTGCCTCTGCCTCCCAAGTGCTGGGATTAAAGGGGTGCACCACCACGCCCAGCCTGATAAATGTTTTTCTATAGGTGATACAAATTCTAAGTGGCATACCCTCCAGGTCCATGTTATATTACACATCTGTTCACACACACACATTTCTCTTTTTTTTTTTTTTTTCGTCTTTTTGAGACAGGGTCTCCCTGTAGCCCCAGCTGTCCTGGAACTCAGTATGTAGACCAGGCTGGCCTTGAACTCACAGAGATCCACCTGCCTGGCATACCCTCCAGGTCCATGTTATATTACACATCTGTTCACACACACACACACATTTCTCTTTTTTTTTTTTTTCGTCTTTTTGAAACAGGGTCTCCCTGTAGCCCCAGCTGTCCTGGAACTCAGTATGTAGACCAGGCTGGCCTTGAACTCACAGAGATCCACCTGCCTCTGCCTCCCGAGTGCTGGGATTAAAGATGTACACCACCACGCCTGGCTGACTTTTAAGAATTTTTTACAAACTGAAGCTGAATATAAACATCTTAAAAAAGAGAGAAATAGCCGGGTGTGGTGGCACACACCTTCAATCCCAGCACTCGGGAGACAGAGGCAGGTGGATCTCTGTGAGTTCAAGGCCAGCCTGGTCTACATACTGAGTTCCAGGACAGCTGGGGCCATAGGGAGACCCTGTCTCAAAAAGATCCCACCCCCAAAAAAATCTTAAAAGTAACTTCCAAATTAAAAAAAAAAATCATTTGGCCTGGGATATGTCACTTGGTGGTTAAGTGCTTTCATAACATGCTTGAAGCCCTGGATTCAATCTCTAGTATCACACAAAAAAATATCATGCAAAAACTTGTCTTGCTATTAAGTGTAATATTTAAAAAGTATTAGCTGTCGATTATCTGTTATGTAATTTAAATTTTAAATCATTTTTATAAGGCACGATCTCACTTTTAAGTTTCAAAAACTGAGTAGAGTTGGTGGAATAATAATCTGTTAAGTGACTTTCTGAGTATAGCTATCACTGACAAAAACCTTGACTATCCTGTTCAAAAGAAAAAAAGACCCATTATATGTATCTTTGTGCAGTTGTTTTTGCCATTTTATTAATTGACTTTCTTCTTAGATTAGAATCTTGTAAAGGTAATACTTAGATGAAAGAATTGGGGGTATTTTTAAGGCTTTTTAATTCTTTTTTAAATGTTTTATTTATTATTTTTATGTGTATGAGTGTATTGCCTGCATGTAAGTGTACATATGTCATGCAGCGCCTGCGGAGATCAGAAGAATGCATCCTGGAACTGGAGTTACAGATGGTTGTTAACTACCATGTGGGTGCTGGGAATGAAACCCAGGTCCTCGGCAAGAGCAGTCAGTGCTCTTAACTGCTGAGCCAGCTCTCCTGCCCCAAGGCTTTCTAATTCTTTTTTTTTAAAATTTTATTATTTTTATTTTATGTGTATGCGTGTATTGCCTGCGTGTACGTCAGTGCACCCATGTCGTGCAGTGCCTGCAGAGGTCAGAAGAAGCTGTCAAATCCCCTGGAATTGGAGTTACTGACAGTTGTTAGCTGCCATGGGGGTGCTGCGATTCGAACCTAGGTCTTCTGCAAGAACAACCGGTGTTCTTAACCGCTGAGCCATCTCTCCAGCCGCGGCTTTTTTGTTTGTTTGTTTGTTTGTTTATTTTGATGTTTTTGAGACAGTGTCTCCCTGTAGTCCCAGCTGTCCTGGTATTCACTATGTAGACCAGGTTGGCCTTGAACTCACAAAGATCCACCTGCCTCTGCCTCCCAAGTGCTGGGATTAAAGGTGTGCACCACCACGCTTGGCTTAGCCCCAGCTTTTTAATTGTTACTAAATTGCTTCTTTGAAAAAGTGGGTGATTTGGGAGCTCAACAGATGGGTCAGTGGTTAAGAGCACTTGATGCTTCTTTGGAGGACCTGAATTTGATTCCTAGAACCCAACCACCTATAACTCCAGTTCCAGGAAATCCAGTGTCTTCTTATAGATTTTGTCAGCACCAGCACTCATGCACATACGTATAGAAATAAAAATAAAATCTTAAGACATTTTTATTTATTTTATTTTATACGTATAAGTGTATTTACTGCATGCGTTTAAGTGCACCCATGTTGTGCAATTCCTGTGGAGGTCAGAAGAGGATGTTGACTTCTCCTGGAACTGGAGTTACAGATGGTTGTTAGCTGCCATGTGGTTGCTGGGAATCTTAAATGCTGAGTCATGGCTTCAGCCCCTATTATAGCCATCTTAATAGGTACGAAGTAATATCTTACTGCAGTTTTGAATTTCACTCGTGGCTAGTGGTATGGAGCATCTTTTCACATGCTTATTGGTTCAGTATACTCTGTAACAATCCCAGTGCGTCAAAATGGTTTGAAAATGGTGAAGTTGCTTGGCTTATTTTAAATTTTAAAGTCACACTCATGCTCGAAAAAGAGGGCAGGAACTAAGGAGCTTGGCCACACAGGCAGAAAGCATATTGTAGAATGCATACAGCAAGGGCTCAGCTTGCATGACCATCAGTGCTGCCCCTAGATTTTACCACTATATTTTTCCATATATTGCTGTTGTTGATTTTACTGCTTCCTTGCTTTTCAAAATCCCAAACAGATACTTCTGATAGAGGATCCCAAGTTAAGTGTCAAGTGTCTTCATCCTAACTTCCAGTGAAGCTGATCTAAAGGAAAATAATTGTCAAAACTGGGAAATTCCTGCAGAGAAAGTGTTTCACACATTGACCATCTTCCTACCCAGTCTAGTCCCCCCCCGAAAAAAAAAGAGTTTTCTATAGGGACTAATTTGGGAGCCAATTATAAAAAAGAAAAAAAAATACTGTAACAATTTTTTTTTTTTTTTGGTCTTTTTGAGACAGGGTCTCCATGTAGTCCCAGCTGTCCTGGAACTATGTAGACTAGGCTGGCCTTAAACTCACAGAGATCTGCCTGCCTCTGCCTTCTGAGTGCTGGGATTAAAGGTGTGTGCCACCACGCCCAGCCTTGTAACAATTTTTTATAAGAAATTTTTAGAATCTCAGATTTTAGTTAAAAAGTGTGAGTACCTGTGGATCTCTAGTTAAACGCCAGCCTGGTCTATATAGCGAATTCTAGGCCAGCTGGGGCTATAGGGAGACCCTGTCTCAAAAAGACCAAACTAACTAATTAAATAAATAAATAAATAAATAAATAAATAAATAAATAAATAAATAAATAAAGAACCTCAG